ACCCTGCCTGGCTCAGAATCCATTTATAGTAGGTCAGTGAACTACAACTCATAGGTCAAATTACAGTCCACTATTTCTGTTAAGTTTTGCTGAACCATAGTTGCACTCAAATATTTGTGTTGTTTACTGTTGTTTTGTGCTACAATAGCAGAACTGAGTAGATGTAACAGAGGCCATATGGCCTGCAAAGTCTAAAATACTTACTACCTGATTCTTCACAGAAAGTTTGCCCATTCCTAATTTATTCTTAAGAATTGAGAATTGGGGCTGGGGATATGGCTATAGCGGTAGCGTGTTCGCCTGGCATGCGTGCGGGTTTGATCCTCAGCACCACATACAAACAAAGATGTTGTGTCTGCCAAGAACTAAAAAATAAATATTAAAAATAAATTTTTTTCTCTCTCTCTCTCGCTCCTCTCTCTTAAAAAAAAAAGAATTGAGAATCACAGCTGGGCAAAGTGGCACATGCTTGTAATCACAGCTAGCTACTCAGGAGGCTAAGGCAGGAGTATCCTAAGTTTGAGGCCAGCCTGGAAAACTTGGCAAGACCCTATCTCAAAATAAAAAATAAAAAGGGCTGAGGGTGTATGGCAGTGACAGAGCATTTACCAAATGTTCATGAGGACCTGGTTCCTGGGTTCAACCTCCAGCACCACACAAAAATGAGAATCAGAGAAAGCTTTTATACTTGCTAATGGTGGTAGATATTCCTAAGTTGATTTTCCTTGAAATGGCAAGCTCATTTGTGAATTATTTCTATCACTATTGACTATATTAGCAATCAAAAATTATGTAATTCAATCAATAATAAACCCAGTAACAACAGAAATAGGTTTAATGAAATGTGATTTTTAAAAGCCACAAAATTTGAGTTGGCTTTATTTCAAAGTTTTGCAAACCTTTTTATTTGGCTTAGAAGAAAGTCTCATATCTGCTTTTCTGTTCAATATTGCAGTACCTTGTTTTGGTTAAAGAACATTAAGAAAGTCTGGCCTTGGAGGAATATAGTTGGAATGGTTTTTGAAACATCCTGCATGTGAAAATATTAATGGACAGAGCTAATATTAATGGAAGAACTATAAAAAGATCTACCAAATTTTTAAACATTTCATTCTCCAACATTAAAAAGTTGCACTTGCCAGGCACAGTGGCCCAACCCTGTAATCCCAGTGGCTCAGGAGGCTGAAGCAGGAGGATTCCAAGTTCAAAGCAGCCTCAGCAATAGCGACGCGCTAAGCAACTCAGTGAGACCCTGTGTCTAAATAAAATACAAAATAGGGCTGGAGATGTGGCTCAGTGGTTGAGTGCCCCTGAGTTCAATCCCTGGTACCTGCTCCCCAAAGTTGCACTCATTAATATGACTGATCTTTTCGGCCAAGTCTTTACTATGAAGCTGTCAAGCTAATGGTAGTAGATAGTAGTTTCCTTTAAAACCTTTCTTTCTGCTGGGTATGGTGGTCCACACCCAGCGGTTATGGCGGTTCAGACAGGAGGATTATAGTTCAAAGCCAGCCTCAGCAACTTATTGAGGCCCTAGGTAACTTAGTGAGACCCTTTCTCAAAATAAATAATAAAAAGGGCTGGGGATGTGGCTCAGCAGTTGAGTGCTCCTGGGTTCAATCCCCAGTACCAAAAACCACCAAAACCCAAAAATCTTCCTTTCTGCTTGAAAGGTCAAGTTTTGTCACTGGCAAAAAAAAAAAAAAAAAAAAAAAAAAAATTATTTTCTTTGAAGTAACAGACTCAATTCATCCATTTTTGTGAAAATGCTGACCACAAACAAAGTTTTGAATAACTAGTTTGTCAGCTTTTTTTCCAAGTAAAAATGATGCTCCATGAAAAAGTGTCTAGTTGTTTGCAACTCATACAAGCACTTTATTATTTTTTGTGGTACTGGAGGTTGAATCCAGGGCCTCCTACATGCTAAGTTCTCTACCAGTGAACTGCATCCCCAGCCCTTTTTAAGAATTTTTGAGACAGCCTTAAATTTGAGATTCTCCTGCCTTAGCCTCAAGTTGTTGGGATTATACGTGTGTAACCACCATGACTGGCACACTTGAGGCAACTGTCCTACCCTGGTATACAGAAATGTTTTATGTAGTACTTTCTACTGTCACAAAAAAAAATTATAAAGATATATGTTCAAGTGATGGAATGTCCTTGATCTATATTAATGTACTCATTAAATATTTTTATTGTATTGAGGGACATTCTTATGTAAAACTGGTTATCAAAAAGTTTGCTTTTGGTGAATAACCTTGGAATATTGTGAAACTTATTTGATCTTTGTCTGTTTCTGGCATACAACTCCTAAAACTAAAGTGATGTCTTTGTATACTGATATGACTGTTGACGGTAGACCCTTGGTAGCTTCAGTATGGGGACTAGTCATGTGAAACTCCAAGGTAGAACTAGAGGGTTGGGCCCTCAGCTGCATTTCTCAGTCACCAGGAACAGTAGATGAGCTGGAGGTTAAGCTGATCACCAACGGCAAATTATTTAATTAATCTTGCCCATGTGATGAATTTCCATGAAGACTCCAAAAGGACAGGTTTCAGAGCTTCAGGATACCCAAATACCAGGGTAGTTCCTGGGAAGACACAAAAGCTTTGTCCCCCCCTCCCCCATCCATCTCTTCATGACATTCATGCTTATCCTTTGTAATATCCTTTACAATAAAACAGTAAATGTGTTTACATGAGTTGTGAGTTAATCAAACCCAAGGAAAGCCAGTAGGTCAGAGACATAGGTAAAAAAAAAATCCAGGGCTTGTTATTATCTGAGGTGGGGTGGACTGCAGCCTTAGACACTGAAACCACCTTTGGAATCTGATACTAGCTCTAGGTAGACAGTTATCAGAATCGAATTGGAGGCCACTCAGCAGGTTTCTGCTACAGAACTGATTGCTTGAATTGTGTGTGGGGAAGATACCCTGCCTACTTGGTCAGACATTGTCTGTGTGGACTTTTACTTAATATTCTTACGAAACCATTTAGCAAATCCAGAGAAATCCCAGGCAGGGAATATAGCTTGGTGGTAGAGTACTTGCCTAGTAAGCTCAGAACCCTGGTTAATCCATAATGTCACAAAGGAAAAAAAATTCCATTATTTTTATTCCTGAGATGTCTAAAATAATAAATTTATATGTAATAAGCTTTTATTGAATTTACAAAATCCAACTAATTCTCTATCTTATAGTAATCAGAAAAGGACCTCAAGATTTTGGTGCCACTTTTTGATCTACTATTGTCAACGTGTAAATTGAACAAAACATGGATTGGAATAGTAAGGGAAGTGATGAAGTTGGGTTGGGGATATAGCTCAGTGGTTGTAGAATGCTTCTCAGCATGTTTGAGTCCCTGGGCTTGATCCCTAGCACCACAAAAAAGAAAAAAGAAAAAAAAGTGAACAAATTAGCCAGAGGTATAAATATTTAGTTCACTTGTAGGCCTCTGCATAGTACAAAAGAACGTCTATTGAATGTGATTTTGGCAATTTTCACTTTTGACAACTGATTTACCATTAGAAAATGACTTCTTCAGCACAGGTTTGTGACAGGTTTTACTTGCTAAGAAATGTAACTTCATATGTAGAATGATTAAATGTATTCATTCAGATCAACCAAAAAGACAAAATCAAAAAGTGAACAAGGCGTATCTTTTCCTCATATATCACAATTAAATTTAAAAAAAAATCAAAATTTTAGAAAGGAATCACCATGAACAAAAATTCATAAAAGCATTACAAAGTTTGAAAAGAATCAATTGTATACTTTGGTGGAAGTTGAGTCATATTTTATTTTCTAATTGCAGTTTGCATCTGATTTCTTTACAGTATTCCACATGATGGGAAAGGAAACCTCCAAACCAGCCAGTACTAATTAGTTGTCATGAATCTATAGTAAAAGGACATAAAAGGACTCACCAAAGACTTAAAACTGAAATATCACCATAACTATAAACTTTCTCTAAAGAAATATAGAGCAGTTGTTATTCTATAAAATATCAAGCAACTTTGAGTCTTTCATCTTTTAGTCTTATGCTGAATTAAATAAGGTTGGTAGCAATTACTTTAAATATCGTGTCCACATAAATATACAAATATATACTCTACATGTTCTTTCTATCATAGTAATCAAAGACTGCAAGCAAAAGATATGGTAGAGAACATAAAAGACATGCATCTTCTATCTTACACAGTCCTGGGTATCAAAGTGAAAAGAGACAGACACTGCTCTAAGTGCATTACACATATAAAGATCTATGTTATTAATCCTCCCGACAATTCAGAGAGACAGGTACTATTCTCATCATCCCTATCTTACAGGTAAGGAGCCTGAAGCTAAGAGAAGCTGGAAAAGGCACCCATGGTTACCTGTGGTTCAGGGCAGTGGAGGTTTTAGGTACAGGCCACCCAATCCCAGGCCTTCTGCGCTTTTCTTCCTAGCACACTGCCTCGCAAGGAACAAGCAGGTGGGTGGGCAAATTCCAATATACTCTCTGAATTGCTGTTTATTCTATACCTGAGAGTCTAATATCTCTTCACACTTATACTAAGAATTCAGATTTTGTTGTTTTCTGAATAGGAAGGAAAAAAAGGATGACAGTTTAAGGTAAACCCAAACACAAAAGTGGTATGAAAAAGATCATGGAAAGTTCATGGAAAAGTTAACAGAATAAATGAAACTTACCCTTACTAAGTAGGAAAAAGATTAACATACAGGTAACATAAAGAACCTCATTTTCATTCTGATACTTTAACTGTCAAGCCACAGCCAATACTGGATGTCGATATATCTGCACACAATATGAATCAAGTAGAAATCTAGCTACGTATTTTATTCAAAACATGCTTTTACCTATTTATTCAGAGTCACTCTGAAGTCAACAATGACAGCAGTTTATAGCTATTAAAGATGTTATTCAATATCATAAGTTAATGGTTATGTAAGATAGATGAAATTTAGTTTAATTACAAGCCAGACAGTTTTTCAGCCATGATTCCATAGATGCGATGAGTAAACCAATGGCTGTTTTTCAATAAAATATAAAAATTGTCATCATGCATAGTGTACAGGCTCCTAAATAAGTGGTCTTTTTAAAAGCTGGATGTTCAAGAAAGATTCAACAAACAACTAAATCTTTGCACAACTTTTTACATGAATGCTTGGTTTGGTTATTCAGCCACTTTAGTAACATGATATGTATATACTCTAACTAGAAGTAGAATAAACTGCATGAAAAATGAAACCTTCTCAAATTGATTAGTAATAACTATTATACCCTCTTAGCATTAAGAAGCATTATTCTTAGATTTTAAGCCTTTTATTTTTCTTTCTGGGCATTGCTTATAGCATTGTAATATGGGAATCAAAGAGTATAACCCAAAACAAAACAAAAAAAAAAAACCCAAAAACACCAAGAGTTTTGAGGACCACTCACTCCCATGCCTTATTTGAAGTAAAATCAGATCAACAAAATTATAGTTTTCACATCATAGAATTCCTCCAAGTAGCATTGCATGAGATATAACCTTACCTCAAATATTTAATCATTATCATTCCACATTTTTTTCAGGAGGCAACAGCAATATACTGGGCTGTTACTACCCAAGCATGAAAAAATATACCATCAGTAAATACATGAATTGGGGACATAGCTGTAATTTTTAAAAACTCTTTAAAGAAATCATATTTGTTAGAGGATGTAAGTAGAAAGTAAACTAAATTTTGAGTTGTACTATCCCTACCAGGAACTATATTACAAATGCAGAGTTCAGTCTTGGTAAAATTACATGGAAGATCTAAGGTACAATATAAATTTAGCAAAACACTTTTAGGTATAGAAACCTAAATATCTCATATTTTGTTACTGATGAAGACAATCACTAAAACTCTCCAAGGCCGGTTTCTCATGAATACTAAAAACCAGCCCCTGGTCTCAGATGCATTCCACCCAGATAAATGTTCAGAAACTCCATAGAATAAGAAACATAAACCACAGTGAGGCACTCTATACTGTTCTAATAGTGTTTTATGGTACCTCAGATTTTAAATTCAGTTTTTACACTTAGGAAAGTAAATTATAATTGAGTGGGATTAGAGAAGCTCTGCTTGTTTTTTAAGCCATATGAAGGTTTATTACCATGTGTATTACTTTTCATCACTGAAAAAAAAAATCTTTGGAGACCAATGGAATAGAAGTTCAACAAGCAACATAAATAGATCTGTTTTAAAATCGTATTATGATTACAATGTGGCTAGTGAGGTTTGAAGAATTGACAATGAAAAACTAAAGACATACCTACACTCCTAACACAAGCAAAGGAAACTTTCCACATAATAAAATACATCCTTAATACAAACCAAGATATAATATACTCTGCAGCATGATGTTTTCTTTATTATATTTTTTAGCTGTAGCTCTTCCATTCAGAAACTGGAGACCATGTTTTCATTAAGTTTGTGATTTTTCCTTATTTCCCCAGGTTAGGGATAGGTTGAAAAGGCTTAATTTGTACAAGTTGTTATGAATTTAAATCATTTATATATTTTAAGTGTTAATAAAGCATTCAAAATGTAGCTTGTACATGACTTCTAAAAATAAAATAACACTTTTAACATAATCTTTCTGTTCTGCAAAAATATTCTACATACATATGATCAAAACAATCTTTTCTTGTTTAGGAAATTTCCTATGCACAGTAATGAGGGGGGAAAAAAAAACTACCAATATTTCCAATGTTAAGATAGCTGGGTGCCACCTAGTGCTCAATTTCTGTAACTACCACCTTTACAAATTAAAATTTGCTATTACAACCCAGGTTCTAAAACTACATTTTAGAAATATACCCCATCCCCCATGTTTACGATGGCAAAATAAGATCATGAAAAGAATGCAGATATCAAAATTAGTGTAAAAGTAAATGCTACTTAAATATGAAAAAAACAGGCGTATTGTTTTGACTTCAAATGCAGATTTCTGCCTCCTTCAAAATTTTTAGGGAACATTTGGTAACTGGAATATACAGAAAAATTCTGTATAGTCAACAGGCTAGTCAAAAGTAGGGCTTAATTATAATTCATAACAAGTACAAGGCAAATGGTTTATTCAAAACATCCATTTACTTACTGCAAGTGATCAAAGTAGGAAAGGCAGTAATGTATTTTTTTTTCTTTTTTTAAATAGATGTGCTCTTCAATCCATAAGCTCCATTACATCAATAGCACAAAATGGGCTTAATGTTTCACTTAAGATAATTCAGCATTATCAGTTTTAAGGAAACAAATACCTTAGAAACAAATCACAGTCTGCCTTAATAAAGTATAATCATGCTAATGAAAATTTAATCTTCTTTTAGGGTTATGGCCAAAATCCAAACTGCAGGACAATCTTCCGAAAAATTGGAATGTAAAGTGTTGTGTTCAATTTAGATCTGAAAAGGAAAAGAACATCAGGTCAAAGAAAACAACAATTATCCTCAATTCTAGTCTGCTATCAGTCCCTTTTTATGCTCTCCTTTGTAATGTTTATGTTATACAGAATATTCTTAATAGAGTGTATCCTTCCTTTCTTTTGTGCTAGTGATCTGAGATTTTATATTGTGGGAGCATTATCTCTTTAAGAACTGGACAAGCATCTCCTAATTCTCCTCTTCTCAATATGATTGTAGGAATATAGCTAGAACACCTCCAGAGAGATGTCTAGGGAAAAAGGTATTGTTCTCAGGCGATTCAGGAAACCCTTACAAAATGCTCAATAGAAATCAATTACCTTTAATAACCACTACCTGAGTCTGCTGGGCCCAGTTTTGAGAAGGTATGGGCACAGAATCAGAAATTCTTTTGAGAAAATCTTGCTTTGCTTAGATCCTCAACCTATCACTTCAGAGTGTGTGGCTTCACACTCATGCATTTTCTCTGGTTAAGTTCCTGAATTTTCTAAAGAGGCTTTCTATTTGAGCACAGCCATCAAAAATATTTGGATCAGTTCTTAATTCTTAACAATTGGCTACATGTCAAGTTCTTGTTACTTGAATATAACTGTTAATTCTACTGTCATAACAGTTGTTAGAATCTTAGCTCAGGATCTCCAAAGTGAAGTACATTAAAAAAATAATAAAACAATGTGTTTATTTTTCCCTTTTCATTTTCTATTTGGGGGTATGCTTTAAAATGTACACAATGGTAGTTATGTACATTGAGTTTAATTCTTGGTGTGAGTATTCTGAATGATTTGGAGATGCACTGAAATGTAAGATGGACTGAAAGATGAATTGAGATATATGATTAATCAAGTATCTACAGGTTCTGGATCCACTGATTTTAACCAACCACACAGAGGAAACATTTCAAAAAAATGTGTCTGTACTCAACATGTATACTTGTCATTAGTCCCTGAACAATACAGCATTACAAATATTTACTGAGCATTAACGTTCACACTGTATTAGGTATTAGTAATCTAGAGATGACTTAAAGTATTTGGGAGGACACACACAGGTTATATAAAATACTACACCTTTTCATAAGGGACTTGAATACCTGTAGATTTTTATATCCTTCCAGTGTGTGTGTTGTGTGTAGGTATGTGTCTATCTGCCTATCCTGAACTATGATCTGAGATGATTGTACAGAAGTATTAACTGTAGAATCTTGGCAGTGGGTATCACTTGTGGAGCCTAAATCAGACGTCCCCAAGACTGGCCTTGGTATCTCTTAAAAGCTCTGGCAATTCTATTACAGAATCTTGGTCAGGAACAATTACTCTAGGTATTTTGAAATTATATATTTGAATCAAATCAAATATTATTAGTTTTGATTATGTACATAGATACTTTGGGAACCTTATTTCACATGTATAGGGGATTGAAAAGCAGGACTTACGATTATGATTACAGTGTCTGGCATTCATATTGCCAAAGCAAACATTTTTAGGAAGAAATATTGAAAAGGGCTGTTTAGAGTTCCCAAAATAAAAATAACAGTTTGGTTATTTTGTAAATAATTCTAAGGACTTTAATTCATGGACAAGATCCAAAATACACTCATCTAAGTGTTCCACATTCCCAAAATAAATGAAACTTAGTGCAAAGGGCTGGCTTTTCCATGCATAACTCATCAACAGAAACCAGAAAATGCAGAGTGCATCTACTTACATCATCAATGTCCTCATCATCATCTCCAATGTCATCAAACTGAATTTCATCATCATCTCCAGGACCGAATGTATCAGTTTCATTGATTTTAGCTGAAGACACAATAACAGATTGAAGTATACAAGGAGACTCTCAATGTTTAGTTTAATTTAATCAAAGTTTTCATCATAAGGAAAACCTTCCAAACTTCTACCTACCAACACTACTATACAGAACAAATTTCCTAGCAAAGTTATAACTTTGTCAAGACAGAGTATTTATGTTATAATTATCTTTTGTCCACAGGGGTATTTTTAGCAAGGCAGGCTCTAACTATACTAATTCTGAAGCTATTTACAACTTCCAGGTAGACTTCAAAAAATGTTTGAGCACATACTAACAACTCTATTTCTTTAAGGAAAGCTGGTTTGCATTGATGTTTGAGTCATCAACCAGAAAGATTTGGTCAAATCATGCTTAGGCCTACAACAATGACATGCTATTCTTATTTCCAGATATATTACCATTTTCTATGTCACAAAGGCTAAATAAATAATTTCAGTGGAATTTTCATGAGTACATAAGACTGTTTCTATAATCAAATACAATGGGTCAAAAAATAAAAATAACTGCTAAGCAAAAAAATGTAGGCTTACATATTAGTATATAAAGTACATTTCCCCTGTGATGAGATTATGAAAGATTTAATTTTTTAAGCTTTCTGCATAAAAAATGCATTACTTGCTGGGCATGATGGCACACACTTGTAACCCTAGCAACTCAGGAATCTAAAGCAGGAGGATCACAAGTTCAAAGCTAGCCTCAGCAACTCAGCAAGACCCTGTCTCAAAACAAAAAAGGGCTGGGAACATGGCTCAGTGTTTAAGTGCCTCTGGGTTTAATCCCTGGTTTGAAAAAAAAGGAGGGGGGAGCATTACTTTTGTATTTGGAAGGAGTGGAACTAAGAATATTAGTTCTAAAATTTTATAGGGGGCTGGGGCTGTAGCTTAGAGGCAGAGTGCTTGCCTAGCATGCATGAGGCACTGGGTTCAATCCACAGCACCACATAAAAATAAAAAAACAAAATAAAGGCATTCTGTCCATTTACAACTACAAGAAAAATTAAAAAAATAAAAAAGTCTTACAGGATGCAATGATACAGGGACATAATGGATTGAAAACTGATTTTTTTTCTTGTGGCGCTGGGTATCCAGCCCATGGCCTTGCATATACTAGGTCAAGTGCTCTACTACTGAGCCCCACCCCCAACTCTCCTCCAAAGGAATTTTTAAAAAGTACTATAACAAAATTATTCCTTTCACTGGCATTATACAGAAGTTAAGGGCTTATTTAGTAAGTATTTAGGAACAGAATTCAGTAATTTCTCTTTTATAGTATCTAGTATTATGACATAAGCAGACATTAAAAGTAACCAACTAAGCAGACAAAATCCACAAAATTCTACAAAAATTCCTCTACCTAAACACTGATAACCCAAACACCATATGACAAGTGGCATTACCATGCTCCGGAAGCTCGCCATAAGCCTTCAGACTTCTAGCTTCATCTGCATTGTATTTTAAAATTACATCAGCTTTGTTATCCTTAAATAGAAACAAGAATTTTAGAACTGATTACACATACAAAAATATCATCAGTTATTTTATAAATTATTTTTTAATTGAATAACAACATCAAGTCTCACTGTTCTGTTATAAACCTTTAAAGTTTTCTCCTACCTTTGAAAAACATCCTTGGGTTTAACCCAGAAGGAAGTAGGTTACGTGCATGACTAAATAATGAGCTTAGGAAAGATATTTACTGATCTTACTTTAAGAACAGAACTGTGAGCTGGGCTTGGTGGCGCACGACTGTAATCCTAGTGGCTCAGGAGGCTAAGACTGGAGGATCATGAGTTCAAAGCCAGCCTCAACAACAGTGAAAAGCAAGTCAGTGAGACCCTGTCTCTAAACAAAATACAAAATAGGGCTGAGGATGTGGTTCAGTGGTCAAGTGCCTTGAGTTCAATCCCCACCCCCACCCCCCACCCCCGGTTAAAAGAACCAACCCCAGCCCCCTCTTTAGGTATTTCTGATACAAAAGTTCCACTGACAAATACTGCCTTAAAGTTTACACTTCCCCATTTGAAATGAATGACTCAATTAAGGAAGAAAACTGATCACTTCAGCCCATTGGGATCTTGTTAAGGTGCATGATCTGATTAAAGAGGCTTGGGACTAGGGTCCAAGAATCTGCATTTCCAACAAGATCCCCAAAGACAGTGATGGTACTGATCTCTGGGCCACCCTTTAAGCAGCAGTGGTATAGAAGGATCATGGGAGATTGCCTAGTCAGAATGTTACTCCTTTCAGAACTTTGGTGTCCTTTCTAATGGGGAATTAATTTTTCTTCCTACTTCTGGGGTTATTAAGATCAAAAGAAGATGACGGGTATTAAAATGGTTTATGAATTTAAAGCAGGCTTTCTCAACCAAGGCAATAATGATCATTATGAACAGGATAATTCTTCGTTGTGGGATACTATCCTGTGCCTTGTAGGATATTCAGCATCACCTCCAGCCTCTAACTATTATGCCAGTAACACTATCCACCTCTCACAGTTGTAACAATCAGAAAAGTCTCCAGGTACTGACAAATCCTGAGAAGGACAAAAATCACCCAGAGTTGAGAACCCAATGATTTAAATAATTCTTTATTGGGACTATAAAAATACAGATACTATCAAATGGAGATGAGTTCTAAAAGGTAAAAGTCAAGTGGATCTCCCAGATCCATAAAGTTCAGATCATGAAGGGCAACTACCATTTTCTTCCCTAGGTACTCATCTACATTTAAAGCATATATTTATATCAATAGTGTGTACATTTTGTAATTACTCACGTGCCTGTTTTATTCTCATAACAGGCTATATGCCTTTTCCGGGATGGGCACCTGACTCACTATATCCCCTATAGTAATGGTTCACAGGTTTTTATTTAAGACTTATAAATTTTAAAAACTTGGGGAAAGAGGCTAAATGTAAGATTATATTTTTATTTCACCATCTAAGAATGATAAACCACCACGATGTATTATGGCTCATTCCAAAAAAGGGGAAAACTTTTTAAATATTAAAAAAAAAGAGAAAACAGATTATTTAGCTTTTTAAAAAACTTTATGTATGTATTAACTCCACAGATGGGCATTTGGAAAACATAATCCCTGAGATCATCAAAATTTTACCTGGTAGTCTCGAAGACCAACCAATATGATGTCTGAGGTATTTATCCAAACCTACAAAAGAAAAAAATCATTGTACAACATATTTAAAATAAAAATGAAGAGACTGAACCACTCCAAGTGGTTATCTACTAGAGAATAGAAAATTATGTGGTTTTATTTTCTTCTGTCTTCCACCTACCCACATATACACAGCTCCCTTTAGTTTGGGAACAGAGGATTAATAGTACCAAATTTTAAAAGGTCACAAAATCAGAGCTGGGACTTTTTTTTTTTTTTTGGTGTAAGAGATTAAACATAGGGACATGCTAAACACAACTCTACCACTGAGCTACGCCATCAGTCCCAGTGAGTGATGCATATCAAATTTTATTAATATGCTTTATAGCCAGCCCACTCAATACAGAATCCAAAATAGGTCTACCTATCAGGTCCCTTATGGCTTCTTAAAACAATAGTTCCCAGCCTTTCTCCCCTTTCATAACATTAACATTTTAAGAATTTTTTTTAGTTATAGATGGACACAACATCTTTATTTAATTTATTTATGTGGTACTGAGGATTGAACCCAGTGCCCCATGCATGTGAGACAAGCACTCTACCACTAAGCCATAACCCCAGCTCAACATTAACATTTTAAGAGTCAGGTTATTTGCTTTGTAGAATGTCCCTCAATTTTCACCTGTTGGCTATTTCCTCAATGCTTCAGATTCAAGTTAAATATGCTGGGTAGGAATACAACATAGGCAACGCAAAATATTCTTTATAAACAATGGAATATACATAAAATTACCAGCAAGACACTGTCATTTGACTAACAGGTAAATTGCTAAGCCCATAAAAACTGCAGGTGTGTGTGGGGGTAGGGGATATAGCTCAGAGTTAAAAGAGTGTGCCCTGGGGTTGAGCCTTAGCACTCACCCCACCACAAAACTATAGAGGCATTCCCTCACCAATTTTATATTAGATTAAAACAAATCTCCACACCTACCTTTTTTCTCAATTTCCCTCTGATGTGACATAACCTCTTTACACCATCAAAACACATTGCTTCTAATCGTCCATTTCCCAACATTTTGATTACTTGAGCATACTCTGGGGAGGTGGAAAAAAAGGAGGGTATGAAATACTGAACAATTTTTGATAAAAGTAACTTAAGTACATGTAGTAAAAGTATAAATACAATGGAGGAGTTATAAATACCACGCTAGTTAATGGTAGAGCCAGAACCAAGACTCTGTAATGCCATTTTTATAATTTGTACCTATTAGACATGTTTTAATTATCTATTCATTTTGAATAAGTAGACTGATTGCTGTCTTTATGACTGTATGCTCTATTTCTGGAGATCAAAGGTGGTTTATCCCCAAAATGAATATTATACATCATAAATCTCTCACATTCTTTTACTCTTTTCTCTTAGAGCCTTTAGAAGCAAAACTCAAGGAGAGTTCTTAAAGCCAGAAAGGTGTTTCCAAGTAAAACATCAATTTTTTTTGGTGGTATTGGGGAATGAACCCAGGAGTATTTTGACTCTGAGCTACTTCCCCAGCTCTTTTTAAATATTTTGAGATGGGGCTTGCTAAGTTCACCAAGCTGGCCTCCTGCCTCAGCCTCCTGAGTAGTTGGGATCACAGGTATTTGTCCAGCTAAAAATGTCAAATTTTTATTTATTTATTTTGAACTCAGGGGCACTTAACCACTGAGCCACATCCCCAGCCCTTTTTATTTCTCTGAGACAGGGTTTCACTAGTTGCCTAGGGTCTCACTAAATTGCTGAGGCTGGCTCTGAACTTATGCTCCTCCTGCCTTGGCCTCCTAGGCTGCTGAGATTCTAGATGTGTGCCAATATGCCGTGCGTGCAAAATGCCAGATTTTTAAATAGAATCTTTTCAAATGGGTACCCAGGAAGTTACCCCATTTCACTGCCAATAGAAAATACTCTGAGAAGATTATGTGACCCAAGGATGGTGGTAGTAGCACATGGGACACAAGACTTCAGACACTTTAGGTTACCCATATAACTGATCCCCAAAGAGGATATACACCAACTTGTAAACATACTGAGAATATCTGAAAGGCTCAACCATGGGGCTGACGTGTAGAAGTGAGTTATTCAGACTACAGTGAACCGTGTGCCTCAGGAAGACTGGTCCATTCAGAGGCAGTCTCTCTTTAAAGTAGGAAAAAAAAAACATGAAAAAAAGTATTGTCTGCCTAAATAAACACAACTGATAATAGAGGCAAAAGTTACTGAAGCTAAGAAATTAAAGGTCTTGCCAGGCATGGTGGTGCATGACTGTAATCCCAGCAACTCGGGAGGCTAAAACAGGAGGACTGCAAATTCAAGATCAGCCCCAGCAACTCAGTGAGACTCTAAGCAACTTAGTGAGACCATGTCTCAAAATAAAAAAATAAAAGAGCTCGGGATGTAGCTTAGTGGTAAAGACCCTAGGTTCAATCCTCAGTATACCCTCACCCCACAAAAAAATGATCTTTTAGCCAGAAAACATGTTTCATTTTTAGTCACTTATGTGTACAGCATGAATATATTTACCAAAAATTCTATAAAAAGGCTATCAAGAAAAGTTATTTGCTGGGCTGGGGTTGTGGCTCAGTGGTAGAGTGCTTGCCTAGCATGTGCAAGGCCCTGTTCGATCCTTAGCACCACATAAAAATAAATAAATATAATAAAGGTATTGTGTCCAACTACAACAACAACAAAAGTTATTTGCTGAAGTGCTGAAAATTGAGGCAATTGTTGATACTGGTATATAATCCTATTACTATTTAATTACCCGTGTGTGATATGTAGTTCTATTGCAGTTATATAAAACAACAGGCTTAGCTTTAGGAAACACATGATGAAGTAAGGGAAAAGAAACATGTCTTCAACTAAATTTCAAATGGTCCAGGAAAAACCAAACTAAATCAAGCCAAAACCATGCATTTCTTTTTCTTTCTTTTGTATCAGGGATTGAACCCAGAGGAGCTCAACCACTGTGCCATATCCCCAGAAAACTCCCCGCCCATTTTTTAAAAAATACTTTTTTTAGTTGTAGTTGGACACAATACCTTCATTTTATTTATTTATTTTTATGTGGAGCCAAGGATAGAACCCAGAGCCTCACACGTGAGTGCTCTACCCCAGCGCCCGCCCCCAACCCTTTTTATATTTTATTTTGAGACAGGATCTCTCTAAGTTTCATAGGACCTTGCTTAATTTCTGAGGCTGATTTGAACTTGTGATCCACCTGCCTCTTCCTCCTGAGCTGCTGAGATTACAGGCTTGTGCCACTGTGCCCGGTCTATGCATTTCTTAATACACACGCGTTGAAGGATTTAAGGGAGTTCATTATACTAACATCACAACTTTTCTTTAGGTTTGAAATTACTCAAAATAAAAATGTGGGAAAAAACACAAGTGATCTAGTCAGAAATTATGTTATATACCTTGGTTTGGCATTGACAAAAATCTTAACCAGTCTATAAAAGTCAATTGATTGTTTAGTTTTACCCTACTGTATTTTATGAAATCATAAGTTAATGGCACTGGAGAATGGAGAGGCCTATAATGACCTCAGATTCTTCCTTCAACTACAGATGATCTTCTGAACATATCATGTAGCATCATTTACTGTCAAATATGTCCACTAAGCTGGTGCATGGTTGTAATCCCAGGTACCAAGGAGGCTGAGGTAGGAGGATCACTAGTTCAAGATAAGCCTCAGCAACACAGCAAGACCCTGTATCAAAAAAATTTGGGGGTGCTGGGGATATAGCTCAGTTGGTTGAGTGCTTGCCTTGTATGCACAAGGCCCTGGATTCAATCCCCAGCACCACAAAAAAAATTTTTTTTGGTATTGAGGATTGAATCCAGGGGTGCATAACCACTGAGCCACACCCCCAGCCCTTTTTAAAATATTTTATTTAGAGACAGGGTCTCTCTGAATTGCTAAGTGCCTTGCTAAGTTGCTGAGGCTGGGTCTGAACTCACAATCCTACCTCAGCCTCCCAAGCTGTTGGAATTACAGTTGTGTACCATGGCACCAGGCAAAAATTTTTTTAAAAGAGTGGAACAGGAATATAGCTCAGTAGTAGAATACCCAAGTTCAATTCCCAGCCCTGGGGAAAAAAAATCCACTGAATCAAGAAATTGTCAACTACAGCTGTTCAAGAATGTGCAATTCGTTCTTCACACAGAAAAATACAGAAAAACATTTTAACTCTGGTTCTAGAAACAGTTCACCTGTGGATGGCCAGCCACCACCAGCACATGAACAGGAATGGACTATTTACAGGGCCATCACAGGGCTGTACCATGGCTGTGTTCTGGTCATCTTTAAGTCATAACTCAAGTGTTCACATAAGTCAAGGAAACTTGTGTATAAATCCTCAATGCAGACTGACACCAGGAAATATTATAGAAAGAAAGGCTCTAGAAGTGCAAGAAATGAGAAATGGAGAACAAAAAGGACAAGAGATTTACTGCTCAGGATTATGAATAGGATCCCCTTTAGAGATCTAATTCCATATTTAGGGAGGAAAAGATGTTACAAAAACAAGACTAACATATGAAACCACTTACCTTGCCCATCCTCTTTGAATACCAGCTCTCTTTTTTCAGACTCATTTTCATTCTTACCTCTGCGTCTATTTTTACCTCCTTTACCTAATCATTTTTTAAAAAGAAAAAAAGATATAAATCATTTGCAAAATAGTATGAAAAGAAACATTAAAATAAGGCTTATAAATTATATTTTAAATCACTAAAGTGAAAAATTCACCTAATTTGAGTACTCTTAATCGTATTTAATATTGTTAACATACCACCCTCCCCACTCTTCATGGATTTTTCTTTGGGGATTTTTCTGACCCAAAATACAAATAGCAAATATTATAAAGTCAGGCATCATGGTGCAAGCCTGTATTCTCAGACACTCTGGTAGCTGAGGTAGGAGGATCACAAGTTTGAAGCCAGCCTGGGCAGTTTAAGGAGACCCCCTACTAGGGATGCAGCTCAGTGCAGATTACTTGCCTAGTATGTGTGATGCCCTGGGTTCCATTCCCAGTGCTACCACCACCAAACATACACACACACACACACACACACACACACACACACACACACACAGAAATACACAGAAAAACATTTTAACTTAGCACACATCCTTTCCAAATAAAACCACAATTCCATACAAATTCCTTGTTTTTCATTTCTTTTAAATACAAACTTGGATCTTTGGGTGTGTTCTGCTAACAGAAAACAAAAGAATGAAAAATAAGAAGAAAAACTCTCACAAAAAATATATAGAACGCCTCATGAATTCGCCCCATACACGACACGTTCTTGTAGTAAAATCTTGAGTGCCTTTGGAAGGAATTAGATGTTTCTAAGATGAAGTGAACAGAGTGTCTGGACAAAGAATTGTGGTTTTTCACTTTTGGTATATAGCAGAGTACTCAATCACTGAAATCTCCATTCAAAATTCAATTTACTCTCTTTTTTTGAATTTTTAATATTTATTTTTTAGTTTTCAGCGGACACAAAATCTTTGTTTGTATGTGATGCTGAGGATCGAACCCGGGCTGCACACATACCAGGCGAGCATGCTACCGCTTGAGCCACATCCCCAGCCCTCAATTTACTCTCTTACAAAGATGATCCTTAAATGATACCCTTGTTGTTTCTGTTATATATTCACAGGAACTATGCTCTTAACTACCATGCGACCATGCTATCTATTTTGTCATGATTATCTCTATGAGATAATTTATTCCCAGTTACCAATGAGTTCACTGAAACTCAGATAAGTTAAATAACTCACTTAAGATCACAGTCAGTTAGCAGGGTCACCCAGACTCCCCCGCTAATCCTTTTTTGCTTCTAGTTCTCAAATTAGGTACGTCTCTAAAGCATTTTGCTCTCTTTTCAGAAATCTAAACACATACTGGGTCTTGATAAATTCTATAAGTGTCTTGTCTCTCTCCTTCCTGAAACCTCAAGAAAGGAGCATTTGTAGGAAATGATGAGGAGATGTGAAGTTATAGCTACTGAAATGAACACACTGATTTTGTTGTGATACAGCAAGAACAACTCCAGCAACTACAAGAGTTTGAATTTTATCTTATAGGATGCAGCTTAGACTGGATATTTGAAGTTAAAAAGGTGCTAACTGCCCCAACTTTGAAACAATGAAGATGTTCTTTATTTGGTTGGTGAATGGATAAACAAACTGTGGTACATCTATATAATGGAATATTAGTGATAAAAACAAAATAATTGTGAGGTCCTGAAGAGACATGGAGGAACCTTAAATGCTTACTGGTAAGTGAAGGAAGCCAACTTGTAAAGGCTATGTACTGCATGACTGTAACTATATATGACATCCTGAAAAAAGCAAAACTATGGAAACAGTAAAAAGATCAGTTGTTGCCAGGAGTTTGGGAGGGAGAGATGAATATATGGAGGAGATACTCAAGGCAGTGAAACTATTCTGTATGATACTGTATGGTGCATTCATATACCAACCCTAATGTAAACCATGGACTTTGGTTAATAATGTATCTCTACTGGCTTAGTAATTATAACAAAGGTACCATACTAATACATGATGTAAATAATGAAGAAAATGAGGGTGGGGGAGCGAGCAGAGAACAAATGGGAACTTTGTTATTTGCTTCTAGCTTTTCTGTAAACCTGAAKCTGCTCCAAAAAGCCTATTAACAACAACAACAACAAAAGCAGCAAGGTACACAAAGATACAATCAACAAAATATGGACTGTGATGAGCAAATATATGATACATTATGAAAAAAATTTAAAAACCAGATCTTCATATTAAAAGATATTTAAAAGACCTGTCAGCCAGTCAACACACAGACCATATCTGGATCCTGACTTGGTGTGGATGATGCAAGATTAGCAACGAATTGGGGGTATCTGGAGTTAGGAGATGTTTATACAAAGGTTCATTATACTGTTTTACTTGAAATTTCATTTAAAAATAAGTGAAAAAGGAAGGTAAAAGAAGGGTATAAAACTACCAGTGATATGAAAAAAAGAAATACATATTTGCTTATATATAAACTGTTCTCTGAAGGACACACAGAAAATGTAAATATATTTACTACTCAAATTTTTTAAATAAAAAATCCTTTTTATGGGGCTGGGATTGTACCTTGCACTTGTGAGGCACTGGGTTCAATCCTCAGCACCACATATAAATAAATAAAATAAAGGTATATAAAAGATCCTTTTACAAAATGCAGAACAAACCTAGCTTAGAGCATATGAAGAGGAAAAACTAGTCAGAATAATATTTATGAGATGGAAATGAGAGCTGTGACCAGATGTGGAGGGGAAGAGAAGGGGGAGAGTAAAGGATGCCCAGGGCTTTCACACAAACCCCTTAGGGTCATCAATTCAAGACTTTGTAAAATGAGGGAGTTAGAACAGAGTATCCAAATACCTCTGTTCTAAAATTCTCATTGGAGTCCTTAAAAATTCTTAATTTCCCTCTCACCTATCATTTTTCTTCATACTTTAAATACAATTTCCCACCTTTTGAAGAAATCAATTTTCCTCTCACTTATCATCTTCATGCTAGTAATCTTACATCTCATCCCACTATTTCAATTTGGTATTATTCTCAGATTTCTAATGGCTCAGTACATCTCCAATGAATGGGCCTGTCATCAAACTCAATTGTATTCAAAGCTCAATTTACCTTCTTTCACAAAGCTTGTCCTTAATCAACATTGTTTCTGTTATATAACCTCAGCGACCATGCTCTTAACTACCATATAATAATGCAAGCCAGGAACTGGGGTTGTGGCTCGGTGGTAGAGTGCCCGCCTAACACATGTGAGGTGCTGGGTTCAATCCTCAGCACCACATGTAAATAAATAAAATAAAGGTACTGTGTCCACCTACAATTAAAAAAAAATGTAACCCATTTACTCATCACTTCTGTACTTTACCAGTAAGTTCACTGAAGCTACCTCTCCACAGTTGTTTGTTCTCATCCCACAACCTAAACCACATTAGCAGTCATTTCCAAAAGGCAGGAGAAAGGCTGTTAAGTGGTAGTGATACCAAGGGACTCATGGGAAGAGCTTGGAAGCAGTAAAAATGTTCACAACCCAAATATAATCAAGAATGTGCGCCTGGCCACAAAGACACATATCTGACTTTCTAAAGCAGCACACTTACTCTCTCCTGAGCCAATGTCTGTCACCTTGCTCAATGCTTTTGTTAGGTGGGCCACTACAATTTCAAGTTTAGTATTTGAGGCATTTTTAGGGAGCAAGAAAACTAATTTCTTGGAAAAAGACAAGTACTTCAAACCATTATGCCTGCCAGATCTTCAAACTAGAGCACAAGTTCTATTAGGGCCAGGATTATTCCTACTCTGTTCACTGGTTATATATTTGAGCTTGGCAATTCCTTCAATGAAGCAGTTAAGAGTAGTCCAATATATTGCTAAGGAATGGTGATCTCAAAATCATAGGTAATAACCTCTTCAAAGAATTGGCTTTACAAGTACAGGAAATGACCTCAGTGGTTACGTCTAGAAAGAAAGGAAGAGAGTGTAAAAAGGGACCAGGGAGGGATGCACACAGGGCTTTGACTTGATGTGTGTTGTAATTCTTAAATTCACAATAATGAATTCCCAGGTGTTCATTATACTTTTGTATCTCTCAAATGTTATTTATTAAAAAAAAAGATTCATTACTTGTCAACTTATCAGCCATGTAATGGGACGCTCCTTAAACTCTCTTTTGAAAGTAAGACCAGGTCTGAGTGTATGACAAAGTAGCATAAAGTAGAATAAACATTCTAACTTTTTAATCTTACTTTCTAGAAAATAGTTAGATTCTAAACTAAATCAAATTCTCAAATTCCTTCTTTAAACCAAACAGAAGTGTTTTGGAGAAATTTCCAAATGGGCTCTTTCTTAAGCAAAACATGAGGCTAGTGAACTAGGTGTGACTTTAGTGTATAAGTCCCATTGGAACCAAAGGGGAACCTATAATTCACCAAAAGGTGCAATCAACAGAAGGGAAGTGACTTGGTCCAACAAATATTTATTGAGCATCTTCTAAGAGGCAAGTGCTGGCAATCTGATGTGATTAAGGCAGATGCTATTCCTGTCCTTTAGAACTTATAGTCTAGTGAGGGAAGTGGAAATTTCATCACTCAAAATAAAGATGTGAATAAGATACTTATCGAAGTGATCCAGTTAACATGTCAGAATAAAGAATTCTATAGATTAAAAATTACAAAACTAGGTGTGGTGGCACACGCCTGTAATCCCAGCTACTTTGGGAGGGTGAGGCAGGGGGTACACCAGTTTGAGGCCTGCCTGGGCAATATAGCAAGATCCTGTCTCAAAAAAAGAAAAGAAAGAAAGAAATGTTTTAAGACTTCTGAAGACTTATATATTTGTCCTCCCTTCTTTTTTGTAGCAAAAAATCTTGCTACAAAAAAGACCTGCAAGTTTTATTTCTGAGACCAATAAGCTGTGTAGCAACTTGAAGGACTGAATCAAATAGTGAACAGAAGTGTGACCAAGTACCTTGAGAGTAATGAGTAGGGACAGCTACAAAACAGTCAAATAGAAAAGAGAACATAAGTAGACATGGATCAGAGGAGAAGATCTTAAGATGAATACCAAAGAAGACTTATGGGCTGTGTAATATGCCTCTCTCCAGTGAAAAATACAAAGCTTTGTCAATTTCTACTTGCACAATTTTCTTCAAGAAATTCTAAAGGTATTAAAAGTAAAAGAATGACTGTAAGTCTATAAAAAGGCGAATTTCCTTACTGAGTGTTCTGTTTTTACTTAGATTAAGCCTTCCATTTTAGAAACCCCAAATAAACTTATCCTCGGCTGATAATTTGCCAACGTTTAGCCCCAGAATGAGAGAATAAAGGTTTTTATTCCCATCTCAATATATACATGATCTGAAGCCAAGTCAGAAAACTTCGCTAAATATGGATGGAGTCTTTGGGGGGGGGGAGTTAAACCTCATAAAGAAACGGAGCAAAGTAAATCTCTATAGATGAACCTTAAAAAAGCATCAAGGCATCACAGTTTATTAAGGACAGAGAGGAGCCTCAACAATACTAACAACTGTCCATAAAGAAGCCCATGCAGAGTACCAGATGGGCACGAGAGCAGTCATCACTCTTAAAGTTCAGAACGGATCCCAGGGCTTAACTTTCCCTGCGGGGTAAGTCCACAGGGACCCAACTGCGAAGGCCAGGAGATCCCAAGGGAAGTCCTGCGATAAGTCCCTGAAGCGCCGCGGTCAGTCTGGCGCGAACCAGGGGCAAGAGCCCACATTCTCCCACAGGAGGCCCTACAAAAATGGCGTCGGCTCCACCCCAATGTGACCAAACTGGGAAACAGGAGTAACTTCCTCGGCCCTCTCCAGAGCTCCAAGTCGCATGTGGAGCACCCAGGCACAGGCGGGCAGGGCAGGAAGGTCACTGCGGCCTGGGTTGACCTGGATGCTGCGGGCAGGGCCAGGGAAATCGGGCCGAGTAAAGCCGTGGTCTCGGGGTCCGGGTGGCATTACCTTTATTCTTGGGCATGGCGGTGAAGGTGGACTCGCGGAGTCTCCGACTTCTTTCTGAGAGGGAACGGCGGAGGAGGGGACTCCTCAGAGGGGCGCAATGGGAGACACGAAAGAGCGCACGCGGGACCAAGCAGGCTCTTGGAGGCCGAGTAGCGTGCGCCGGAGAGTCTGGAGACTGGGTTCTTCCGAGATCCGCTTGCGCCCACGCTCGACAGCAGCAAATGGCGTCGCGGCTGCTTGCGTCGCCTTTCCCCGCCTCCCGCCGCTGGCAGGGCCCACCCCCCCACACCCGCCCTCCACCCCCGGCTCTAGGGCGCAGGCGTGGCCGACTAACCCTTATTGTTAGAGCCGAGGGAGCGGATTTCTGGGAGGGTTCTGAGGCGCCTGGGAGCACGCAGGGGGCGGGACAGTGAGCCGGGAGGCGGTGGAGTCTGGGACTGGATGGATGCGGCCCTGCGTCATAGTAAGGGCAGGATTGAGGTAGCGCCGGCTGCTGTCTGTGCCAACCGTCTGTTGGTTTGTAACAAACCCGGCGTCTCCCGGTTTGACAACTTGCTGACTCATTAACCTCACAGCTAGCTCAGTTTTAATGTGGCCCTTTCACCCGCCCAGCCAGGCTGGGAACCTGAAGGGAAGGGGAGACCTGTCTGTTATCCATTACCAAAGCATATTTACATGGCACTTGTTAATCCTTTTTAAATGTCTTCCCTGCCTTCTTGTTGCTTATCACTACCAGCACTTAACAGATTGGCACACAGTGGGTGCTCAATACACATTGGAAAAAAGAAAGGAAGGAAAGACAAGTTAGGTGTTAGGGGATGAATTATGTCCCTCTAAAGTTTTGTTTTGTTTTGTTTTGTTTTGCACCAGATATGCAACCCAGGGGTGTTTAACCACTGAGCTACATCCGTATCCCTTTTTAAATTTTTTATTTTATTTTATTTTGAGACAGGGTCTAAGTTGCTTAGGGTGTCACTAAATTGCTGAGCCTGGCTTCAAATTTGCAGTTCTTAGGCCTCAGCCTCTTGAGTCATTGGGATTACACAAGTGTGTGCCACCACTCCTGGCTGGAAGTCCAAATGTTTAAAAATGGAAAGTCTCTGTCAAGCTGGGAATGTAGTTCAGTGGCCGAGTGCTCGACTAGTATGTGTGAGGCCCTGGGTTTGACCCCCAGCAACACACACGACACAGACACAAACACACCCACAAAATCTCTGAAAATTGCCTGATATAAAACCTCAAAGGACAAAATAAACATCAGGGTTCATTTCCCTATGATAGATAGCACGATTCCCATGTATGACTGTTCATCAGAATGACTGGGAAAGAGGTGAATCATGTGAACATCTGGGGGAAATATGTTGCAAGAGCAAAGCCTCTGTATAGAAGCATGTTTGGTATGTTCAAGGAATAGTAAGAAGGAGCTGGGCATGGCTGTATGTACCTGTAGTTCCAGCTCCTGGGGAGGCTGAGCCTATGATTTCAAGACCAGCATGGGGTTGGGGCTGGGGATGTGGCTCAAGCGGTAGCGCGCCCGTCTAGCATGCACGCAGCCCAGGTTTGATCCTCAGTACCACATACCAACAAAGATGTTGTGTCTGCCGAAAACTAAGAAATAAAATGTTAAAATTCTCACTCTCTCTTAAAAAAAAGAAATAGGCTTTCTCAAAAAAAAAAAAAAAAAAAAAGACCAGCATGGGTAAAATTGAGAGAACCTGTCTCATTTTCTTTTTTTAATTAAGAAGTAGCAAGAAGTCCAGTGTGGGAAGAATGCAACAAGCCAAGGGAAGAGTTTGGGGAGATAAGATCAAGATTATAGAGGTAAGGAGACCAGATCTTTGAAATCCATAGGAAGTTTTAAACAGATTATTTTGACTTCTTTTAAGAATATGGGGGTTGGGGACATAACTGAGTTGGTAGAATGCTTGCCTTGAATACACAAGGCCCTGGGTTCAATTCCCAGTACCCCCCCCCCACACACACACACACAAAGAACAAACTGTAGGGGGCAAACACGATAACAGAGATCATACCAGATGCTACTGCAGTTATCCAAGGAAAAGATAATGGTAGCTTAGAATAGAGTATAAGGTTTTTTGGGGGGATAATGAGAATGATAATTGCTGCATGTCTCTATACTAAAAACCACTGAATTGTTCACTGTAAATTGGACTTTGTGGCTTATGAATTGTATCTCAATAAAAGTGTTCAGAAAAAGAAATGGGAGAATGGATCTGATCATGGAAAAATAAAAGAATTGACAAATACTACTGGGGACTTAGCTGAGATTAGAAAATATTAGATTGCAGTGGTATCAGCTTGCATAATTGTATGGTTTCTTCCAACATACAGTGTCCAGAAGTGTATACACAGCATAAACCAAAACAATCCAAAATTGGAGTTTTGTTCAATGGCTGCAGTATAAAGGCAAAGAGGTTAGGAAGTTCAGAGTGCTTCTGAGAGAAAAGTTCAGATGATCAATTATGAGGCCATGAGGTTCAGTCTGAGTGGTAAAGGAAATAGAGTGGATGAAATTTAAATTTTTAATAAGATTAACTATGCTTTTGAAGATCTGGCCTCTGCCTACCTCTTAAGCCTCAAGTCTTCTTATATTTTAAGCTCTACATATAAAAAACATTTTGTTTTCTCAAGAACCTCCAATCTGTCTGAATCTCCATACATTTTGTTCTCCTCTTCACCTTTCCTCTTTTAGGCCTCAGCTTAATCAGTTTCCTTGGAATGTCTACCCTAATTCCTAGGCAGCCTGTATATATATATATTTTAAAGCATCATCCTACACTTCCTTTACCTATATTTTTTAGTGTCAATTCTATCAATCCAAGGTGCATTAACACAAAACTGCAGAAAGCATGACCATGACAGATACTCCTACTCCAGGTCAGCTTAAGGAGTCAGGAATTTCTCTAGATAATCATGGCAAGTAGCCTAGTAAACTCTAAAGATATCCATGTCTAAATCCCTAGAAACTGTGTATATTATCTCACACGGTGAAAGGGAATTTAGGTTGCAGAAGCAATGAAGGTTGCTAATCAGTTGACCATGAGATGGAGCGATTATCCTAGATCATCTCCATAGATCAGATCTAATCACACAAATCCTAAGTGAAACAGGCAGAAGAAAGAGGTCAGAGAGATAGATGCATATGAAGAGGACCAGACTGCTATTGCTGTATTTTTTGTTGTTTGTTTGGTTTTTGCAGTGCTGGGGATGGAACCCAGGGCCTCCAGAGTGCTAGGCAGGCACTCTTAATACTGAGCTGCCCCTGCAGCCCCAGGTATGCTGCTGCTTTTGAAGATGGAGGAAGGGTTCCATGAGTCAAGCGATACAAGTGGTCTTTAGAAACTGGAAAAGGCTAGGAAACACTTCTAACCAAGAACCTCCTGAAAGACATACAACCTAGGGCTGGAATTGTGGCTCAGTGGCAGAGCACATGCTTAGCACGTGCAAGACCCTGGGTTTGATCCTCAGCACCACATAAAAATAAATAAAGGTATAAAAAAAATAAGAAGTACAGCCTAGCTTGAGACCCTTTTTTTTAGCCCAGTGGCACCCATATTAAATTTCCAGCCTCTAGAACTGTAAGATAATAAATTTTCATTGTTTTGAGTCACTAAATTTGTGGTTATTACAAAAGTGACAGAAAACAAATACAGTTAACATTCTTACAGTGTCTCAGTATAATGCCAACTAGAACTTACCACTGGCCATCATATCTGAATACCCAAATCTATATAAGCGGCTAACACCTAAACCAACTTGTTGAGAGCCACAGTTTAGTCAGAATGACGCCTGGCATTTTTGCCAGAGGGAATGGTTGAAAGGTGATCCTGCTCCGGGATTAGGGTGGATCCTGCTGGGAATAGGGCGGATCCTGCTGCCTCAGGCGCCCACTACTTTGGAGTTCCCATTGAGTTCTCCAGGGGTTCTGAGAGAATTGGTGGAGGGAGTGTGTTCCTGGGAAGTGTGTGTAGAGTGCTGGTGAGAGTTCAGGAATAAAGAGTTGCTGTTTGGGCTGGGGATGTGGCTCAAGCGGTAGCACACTCCCCTGGCATGCGTGTGGCCCAGATTCGGTCCTCAGCACCACATACAAACAAAGATGTTGTGTCTGCTGAAAACTAAAAAATAAATATTAAAAAAATTCTCTCTTTAAAAAAAAAAAAAAAGAGTTGCTGTTTGAACCTACAAGGCTTGGTGGCGGCTCGGTTATTTTGTGCCCAGCCAGACTGCGGCATCAACTGTTATGGGATGAATTGTCTTCTCCAAATTCATAAGTTGAATTTCCAACCCCTAGTACCTCAGAATTAAATATCACAGTATTTTGAGACGTGACTGAATTGAGACCATTAGGATAGGGTCCTAAGGCAATATGATTGGTGTCCTTATAAAAAGGAACACGCTGGACATGTAGTAGAGAACTTAACTAGCAGTGGTAGAGAACTTAACTAGCATGGGCAAAGTTCTGTGTTCAATCCGAAGGAGAAGGAGAAGGAGAAGGAGAAGGAGAAGGAGAAGGAGAAGAAGGAGGGGGAGGAAGGGGAGGAAGGGGAAGAGGAGGAAGAGGAGGAGGAGGAGGAAGAGGAAGGACATCCATGGTGCAGAAAGAGGGCACCATCTATAGTCAAAGACAGAGGTCACAGCCTGCAGGCACCTGAATCTTGGACTTCAGCTTTCAGAACTTTGAGAAAATAAATTTCTATTGTTTAAGCCACCCAATCTGTGGTATTTCAGAATATAAAAACATTTACAGGAAAAGGGGTAACTTCAGGCTTATTATTAAGTACCCTCTCTATTAGAAATCAGTGACCTCAAATTTCCTTTCAAACATGCTAATGAGACTTGCTAGTAGAAAGACAATGGAAAAATCCTTCTAAATGCTTTTAGCAAGATATACTTTGTCAGCTTGGCATGGTGGTGCATACTTGTAATCCTAGCGGCTCTGGTGGTTGAGGCAGGAGGATCCAAAGTTCAAAGTGAGCCTCAGCAGCTGACTCTGTCTCTAAATATTATAAAAAGGGCTGGGGATGTGGCTCAGTGGTTGAGTGCCCCTGGATTTAATCATCAGTACCCACCCCCCCAAAGATATACTTGGTCTTTATAGATGGCTTATTGTAAAACCTGCAATTCCTGATGTATGGCTGACTGGAGAGAACAGGGGCTCATCATTAAGTTGTGTAAATAATGAGGTATGAAAAGGCGAAGCTGAAAAAGCAAATGACTCCCTTTGTTTGAACAAG